AAATCTGAAAAAGTTTGGCCAGCAGGGTAAGGGAGGTGATTGTCCCCCTCTGCTCATGTGAGACCCCACCTGAAGCACTGTGTTCAGCTCTTTGGCCCCCAGCACAAGGATGTGGAGCTATTAGTCCAGAGGAGGGCCACAAAGATGATCACATCTCCTGTGAAGACAAACTGAGGGAGCTGAGATTGCTCAGCCTGGAGAAGAGAAGGCTCCAGGGAGACATAGGGGCCTACAGGAAAGCTGGGGAGGGACTCTTTGTCAGGGAGTGTAGGGATAGGACAAGGAATAATGACCTTATCCTAAAAAGGAGTAAATTTAGAGTACATATTCAGAAGAAATTCTTAACTCAGAGGGTGGAGAAGCACTGGTACAGGTTGCTCAGAGAAGCTGTGGATACCCCTTCCCTGGGGGTGTTCAAGGCCAGGCTGGATGGGGCTTTAGGCAACCTGGTCTGGTGGGAGGTGTCCCTGCCCATGGCAGGGGAGAGTGGAACTGGGTAGGCTTTAAGGTCCCTTCCAACCCAAAGCATTCTAGGATTCTATGATCACTTTTCCTAAAAGAACTAGTAAAAGATAATGCAAGGTGTCTCTAGTAGTACAGGTGGTTCACAACTTGCCTTTATTTCAGCAGAGCTTTATGAACACAGTGTTTGATGGGAACAAGTTGAGTTCACAAGTCCTGGTCCTCAGCATGTAAAGCACACCAGCTCTAATCTAGTTATGAAACCAAAGCAAATGCATAACAGCTTTGAGTTGGAATTACTAAGCTGAATAAATACAAGTGAAAACTATAGTTGAAGTGGAAATCTCTTTAGAAGTAATCTGGCTTTTGTTTTGGATGTGGCATATACAATTAGAATAACAGACTAGTATACAATTAAAAGCATTCCTTTATTACTGTACAATTTCTATGTAAGAATAATAAGCTGTTTTTTTTAATCACCCCTGTTTTATGGGAAATAGAAGGGTAGGAGGGATTTCTAAAAAAAAAAAACAACCATGCTCAGCTTGCCTGTCAATTTTGACCCATCTCCTTTCAGCTGCATTGTTAAAGCCACAGTATTTTGAAGGGGATGTGGGAGATTCCAGAGTGAAGGAGGGTCAACAACTTTGGAAGAGGAGGAGATAGTCTGCCAAACTTTTTATTGTAATTATTTGGGAAAGGAGTGCTGAGAGTTCCTGGTTACCGACAGCAGGCAAAAACGCTGTCTGAGGGGGGTGCGCGGTTTTTTTTTTTTTTTATTTTGTGCTGGGGTTTATTTAGGCAGGGAGGGCAGAGATAGAAGGCACAGGTGCAAGGAGAGGAAGGGGAGCGCGGTTCCCTGCAGACCGAGCAGCGCTGGCCGGGGCCGCCAGGTGGAGCCGTGGCGCCGCCGCCCGGGGCCGGAGCGCAAGCGGTGGTGCCTCGGGGTGGTTGTGGTGGTGCCTCCTCTCCTACCTGCGGCTGCTCCCCTCCCGAGGGGTAACTGCTGCTGTAAAAGTTCCTTTGGGCGAGCTGGGATGCGTTTGGTAAGTGCTGGTGTCATAGGAGGGAGACTGAGGCTCGGGAAGGGTTTCCTCGGGAACAGCTCTCCATAAAACTGATCTGGAAGGCATACAAACATGCCCTGGTGTTTCCTGCTGTACTGATGTAATACAGCAGGAACAAGGCAAGACTGCATTTGAGAACTTTCTTAAAGTAAGGCAAAAGTTATTAAAACTATACCTTTTAACTCTTTATGCTGTCAACTGCTTATGTCTCATCTCTATAAGTAGGGGTTTACCTCTGTAAAACCAGAGTGGTTTTAGATCACAGATTCATAAGAATGACAAAAAGCTGACCTATTTGCAAACATACAGGTTTAATTTTACCTGACTAGATGCATGTGAAGCTGAAATACTGAATTTGGTCCTGGGTGAGTGCAGGGTCTTGGCTAGGACACACGTTTCTGGTTGTGTAAGGGCTTTTGAAGTGACATAATCTTGTTTTATGAATCCTGCAGAGCAAGCATATGACTGAGAAGGATCACCTGGCTCATAACAGTTCATTCCCCAGTGGCTGGGCTCCAGCGTGGGGACATCAGCTTCATTTTTCCTATTTTCATGTTGTGGGGGAAGTGTATCCTTAAAGCGGTACTGTATCATCCTGCTTAGCTGCTCTGCTCAGGAGCCCCACCAGCACACCCAGCCCCTGCCCTGCTGTGCCCTCCTCTCCTTCTGAATGCACCATGTAGCAACCCTCGAGTGGCTCATGCTTGTTGTAACTATTGCTTAATGTGAGAGCAGTTCATGGGTAGTGCATTCAGGTCTGAACAGAGCTGCTGATGATACAAAATGTTCTTGAATGTTTGTGTTCCTGTAGTAGTGCCATCACCCAGGCAAGTGTAACCTTTAGGTTAAGGTGTGAGTTCACGGCTGCATTAGCTCCTTGAGGCTTGACCTTAAAGAAAGAGTGGCTGCTATAAAATATCAAGCTTGACAAGATGATTGCTGCTGTGTTTCTTTTTTTTTTAAAAAAAAAAAAAAAAACAAACAAACTTTCAGAGTCAACAATCCAGTTTGCTGCTACAAAATCTTATAAACATATGACAAAAAAGAGCTTTTAAATACCTTATTCCCGAACTTCTGACTAATGCAAAATCTACCTGTTATTACTTACTAAGAAAACAATTCTGGCATTGTACAAACATGCCTTATAATGTAAATATAAAGTTTCTGAATGTTTGCAATCTTGTAGCAGTAACTTCACACCTGTGCATATGTAGTTTTATAGCGAACTGGAGGGATATACTTGCTGTATACCTATCACCTTGCATTAAGGTTAAAAATATCATATCCTCAAGTCTGTTTTAAGAGCCTGAAAATTGAAGGTGGAGCATACTTAGGGACATCAAGCATGGCGAGGAATCCTTTGTTACTAAAACGTATTTACATTGCCTACAGGTTAGGTGGATTACAACTTGTCCTGTCACAAAGTTAAAGCAAACAGTGGGTTTAGGACTGTGCTGTGAAGTAAATACCACTTTTCCTACAGAGGGTGAATGTACTTTTGCTTTCTGTCCCTAGCAAAGTACCAGATTTCACTGTTTCAGGTATTGGAAGGCACTGTGCTATTGCAAGTATTGTATGTGGTCCTGTGGATAACACCCACAAGAGAGCAGCTGTCAGGATTGACCAGAATGGTGGCTTCTGTACTGCTTGTGTTTTGGGCAAATACGGTCTTCAGCTGAGAAGCTATAGCAACTTCATATGTTTTTCTTAAAGTTTCAAAAATGGGTGGTTTCTTTTTTAACCTCTAAATGATAAGTAGATTACCATGGGAAAATGTAGCTTTGTACCTGTTTGAACGTATCAGCAACAACAACAATGTTGATCTGGTATTGTGGCAAGGGAATTAAAACTTCCCTGAACTTTATTAAAACAAACAAACAAAAAAAAAAAACTGAAGGTTGCACCAAAAGCACTTAAATTTCCCGGTTCTCTGCTGAGAAGGATAATTCAAGAGAACTGCGAAAGAACAAATGACTTAGTGGCTTGTTTGTGTGCTTTCTACTTTTGAGACCTGTTTTGACCCAAGAAACAACTTTGGGTTGAGGCAGAGGGAGGAGGTACCTTCTCCTGTAGTGCCATGAGGCAAGAGTTTTAAACTGGGGGAAGTTCACCAGGAACCTTTGTTGCAACTCAGCATCCTGTAATTACTCTTGATCTGGTTGCAGATTCAGCAGGTACCTCCAGCTCTTAGGCATGGTAGGTCTTTTAACTTTTTATACCCCAACATACAGATGCAGTACCGAACAAATGTTACTATGACTTCTAGATGGGAATGTCCTTCCTAACACCAGTTCTTCTAGAAGACATGCATTTTTCTGGTAGCTGCCTCTTCCCTGAGACCAAAGCTTCAAGTGAGCCAGAGAAGGAAATAAAATGAAGTACTGTGCTGGTTTAACTAGATTGTTTTTGGGACAGCTCAGATCTTGAACGTATTTTCTTGTATTTTCTTGTTTTTTTTTGTTTTTTTTTTTTTTTTTTCTGCTTAACAAATGTAAAGATTTGTTACCTAGAAACATTACTGCTAAGTTTTGCTGGACCTGAGCCAGCCAAATCCCAATTCTGTTGTCATCCTGAGCTAAAGTCTGAATCCAGGGTTATGGATTTGGAGAGCTGACTAGTTTGGATGTGTGAGACAAGCAGATATCCCCCTGGAAACTGCAAGAGTTTGGGAACTGTAGTGCTGTCACACCTGAGTAATTGTGCATATATCAGCTCAACCTGGACGAATTCAGTAGCTCTGACTCAGCGTTGCTTGTGCTGCAGTTTAGGTGGTGTTTTGCAAAGCTCTGCAGTGCTTATAGTGTGCCAGTTTGCCCAGTTTCTGACTATCCTTCATAATAAAGAGCTAAACTATATTGATAAATGTACTTATAAAGAGGAAAATAAGCATCAAATTAAGAGTGTTGAAAGTAGTCATAATTGAGTAATGAAATTCCTTCCTGGATGGAGTTTGCAAATCATTTTTGTTAGTTAGTCCTACATTGGTTATTGGATTAAAAAAAAAAAAAAGGGAAGAAAAAGAAAGGATCTGCTGATATACCTTTAGTTTAGTTCTGATTTACCAGTTGTAGAGATAGTCAAGGTAATGGTGAAAAACAGTAAGCAAATGGTCATGCCTTGCTTGAAACATAATCATAGTGTAGAAAACATTCAAGAAGCAGAATCCTTTCCTCATGGAGAATTTGAGCATGCTCAAGAGCTTTTGCAGTTTTTGTTGTTTGTTTTATCCCACTCATATAAGCCTTAATTAAATTATTTTTAGGGCATATGGAGAGAAATCTCAGTGCTGACACATAGCAAACTGCCATGCCATGAATATACATTATTTCGAGACTGTTAATACCACAGATTGCAAATATTGTCGTTCTAGTGTACACTTTCACTAAACCCATTGGAATGGAAATATAAAAAAGGATAGAGAAAGCATATCTATAACTACTGTAAGTAACCAGTGATTTTCTTACCACCCCTAGGTAAAGTGGTGGTGGCTGTCTTGAAGTCCTTGGTCCTTTATGCTGACCAACTCCTTGTGTATGTACCTATTATCCTCTTTCTCCCACTAGTTTTCATTTAACTTTTCCAGTGCAAAGATTTCATTGATTGATTTGTCCTTTTCCAAAGCACAGGCATTTATTTTATTTTTTAAGGAAACAGATTAATTTCTCCATGTGTCACAGTACTCTGTTTGGTCTATGCTGCCATTGACTTCTGGTCTCTTCTATTGCTGTGTGAACTGTTGATGAACTCAGTTTTGCCATCTGAGATCTAACAGAGCAAGTAAGTGATAGAAAATCTTTTACTTTACTAACTGGAATTATTGTTTACTGAAAGGTAATGGAAAAGACGAGAACTCCATCTGTTTAGACAAAAATATGACATTGATAAGACTGTAATGAGGTCGTAACTTGCCAGAAAAGAAGCTCTGAAACAGGAAAATCAGGCTGCACTGCTGAACACGATGAGGAAAGTGTCAGTGTGATAAGACTGCATACTTCATCTACTTCATCTCTTGGGACTTTTTGTTCTTCAAACATAAAAATACATTTTGTCAGTAGTTGTTTAATTAGGTGTTGCAGGCAGATCTAGTCAATAGAAAGTAAACCTTGGCTGTTCCTTCGCTTCCAGTTTTCTATATATGATTTTGGTAGCTATCAGAATACAGATGTGTGGTGAGAGTCTAGACCACCCACTGAAGAAAAATGTGTCCAGGTCCATACCTTCCTGGAGGAAAGACATACCTATAAAATCTGTCTGCTGATTTTATATTTAAGAGTGATATTTTGTACTTTTGACAGAAGGATCTTAAGAGCTGACAGAAATTTTGATTTCATGTCTCCGTAGCTTAAGACACTGTGTGTGATAGCTTAGGTTTCATTCATTAATCCTGAAGGAAATAAAAAGCTTGAATCAAAATATTAAAATTTCCTGACATTATGGTTGAGATAATAAAGAAATGATGGAAATGGCTCTTAGTGTGTGTTCACTTCTATCATGTTCTGTACAACCAAATAAGATTGTCTCAGCAGACTGGGAGAAATAATTCTGGTTTTGCAATATAATGGCTGCACACTGGAGATTTAGCACATATGGGCATGAGAGAAGACAAGATAATATGAAGGAATGATCCAAATTATTAGTCAAGAACTGATGCTTCTAGTCATCAGCTTGTATTTCAGAAGGCACATGAGCTAGCAGATAAACATTTTTAAGATTAAAAAGTTTCATCCATCCATCATCTCTGATGTTCTCACTTGAGTTTTTTTGGCCCTCATTCGGCCTGTTACTCTACAAACAGTACTGCACTAAGTATGCAGTCTTATGTTTATAATATCTGAAAATTATCAATGAATTCTCCTTGAATTTCCATTGAAGCACTTAGGTTTATCTTTGAGTGCCTTATTTTTTTTAGCGCCAGAATTGAATTCAAGATTTCAGCATACACTATATACATATAATACACATAAAACGGTTATTTCACTTTGAGCTTTCAAAAAATGGACAAGCTTGTAGCTGGAATTGGCTAGAAAACTTCTCTCATGTCTTTTACAGTGTTTCCAAGTGGATATTATAAGGATTTTCCATGTCCCTTTCTTGTAATTCTGCTGTTTTATTAAAATTAGTTAAGCATGCTGTAACTGCTACTGCAAAACCATTGGCTAACCTTTATTTTAAAAGAAGTGTCTTGTTAGGAGCAGAACTAAATGTTGGCTATGCAGCTGTAAGAATTGGTCATCATTCTACCCCTAATTATACACGTATAACACAGAATGAAGTTCAAATTTGAGGATTAGAACCCTGTGTAGAACAAGAAATCATTAAGAATGTTTCCTAGCTGAGCTTTTGTTAGCAATATTGGGATAGCACTGTAAGCATGAGTTACATTGTCAGCACAATTGTATCAAGTTATCCAAACTTATAAGAATGTCTGAAAAATGTTGCTGGGAGTAATTTCTAAAACTTTTTCTTCTGCTTTCTGCATTTCATTTGAAATCAGTATAGATCTAAGGTGTGTATCTGTGCTCTGAAGCTGGCCTCTAAATTAAAGCCTGAATTGTCTTTGAAAGTGTTTTTTTTTTCAATGGAGAAATTTTTGAAGCTATTTCTACAGTGCAATGACTAGAGTCTGCTATCAGGCTAGGACAAGCACTAAAAAATTAGAGTAAGTCAACCCTGACCTGAAGTTACTGGACAGTAAATGGACTGGGATGCCCAGTAACCAGGCTATCATGAACAGCAGCACATGGTTGCAAATCTGGTGGTTCAGAGTTTCTTTTACAATCTTTGCAATTAATATACACTTGAAAAAAAAAAAAATCTCCTCATGAGAATCTGTAGGTAACAAATGCAGGGAAAGTTCAATGGAGAATATTTTGATACCTCTAGTTATAAATTAAGAACTTCTAACATGGTGGTAGTGAAGGAAGAGTGGCAATAAGAAATGCAAATGAATGATGACAATGAGGTAGTTAGTGAAAAAGGATAGAGGAGAATGTACTAATGTTCAGTCAAAACAGTAAGAAGCTCTGGGAAACATGCTGGGAAAAAAATAAGTAGGGAATGGCAAGTGTACATGCAGAATGGCTTGGTTTTGATGACTTAGATGTCTTTTAAAAACCAAGTGTGGTGAGAACTTTTTTAAAAAAAAAAAAAAAAAATAAAAACAGAATCATTCTCTCAATTTAAGCTGCAAGTGGCTGTTGTGGTTTAGTGCAACCCACTTGCTCCATGTAGCATCAGTTGCATGATGTATAGAGAGGACCCTTCCTTTGAACATCCAGCCTAGCACCAGCAGTTGGTATGCCAAGAGGAGCTGCGCTTCAGTACTGACCACTTCAGAAGATGATCAAACTCCTTCATATGCTGTCAATATCTCCTTTTTGGTTGGAGTGTAGCGGGCCTCAGATCCTCTGTATCTGCAACTCCAAAACCCCAGGGGTTGACCTCAAGTTTCTCCAGGTTCTTTTTGCCAGAGGCTCCAGGTGGGGCCATTCTCCCTGGTTGTGGGGTAGAGCATGTTCTTTACATCTGGTCCTGTTTGGACTGGCCCAAGGGCTACTGCATGAACTATTTCCTGCTTAATTTGTTTGAAGGCTTGTCATTGCTCAGGGCCCCATTCAAAATCATTCTTCTTATGGGTTACTTGGTAGAGCGGGTTTACAATCAGACTGTAATTTGGAATGTGCATTCTCCAAAACACCACAACACCTAGGAAAGCTTGTGTTTCTTTTTTGCTAGTTGGTGGAGACATAGCTGTTATTTTGTTGATCACATCCATTAGGATTTGACAGCATCCATCTTGCCATTTTATTCCTAAAAACTGGATCTCTCATGCAGGTTCTTTGACTTTATTTTGTTTTATGGCAAAACCAGCCTTCAGAAGGATTTGGACTATTTTCTTTCCTTTCTCAAAAACTTCCTCTGCTGTGTCACCCCACACAATAATGTCATCAATGTACTGCGGGTGTTCAGGAGCTTTGCCCTGCTCCAGCGCAGATTGGATCAGTCCATGGCAAATGGTAGGGCTGTGTTTCCACCCCTGGGGCAGCCAATTCCAAGTATATTGGACTCCCCTCCAAGTGAAAGCAAACTGTGGCCTGCACTCTTCTGCTAGAGAGATGGAGAAAAATGCATCAGTGATATCAATTGTGGCGTACCACTTGGCTGCCTTTGATTCTAGTTTGTACTGGTGGAACTTTTCAGACAATGTCTCCAAAGTATTCTCTTTTAGTTGGTGGACAGTGGTTTGTTCAGGTGGGGAGGAAGATAAATTCTCTTTAAGTTGGTGGAACTCTTCAGAAAGTTTCTCCACAGCTGAGATGCAGGCCTGTAAGGAAGAGGGGAGACTTCGAACTACCAGAGTTGTTTAGCCACTTAATCCACTGTGGGTTCCTCATCCTCTTTCCAGGCCATTATTGCCAATGAGCTGGCATATGATGATGGTGCACTCCGTACAAACTTCCACCACATGGGTCGTGTACATGCCCCATGCTGGACACCAAAAAGGACTGTTGTGGTTTAACCCAGCTGGCAGCTAAACAGCACACAGCTGTTCGCTCACCCTCCCTCCTCCCTCCCTCTCTGGGATGGGGGAGAGAAATGGGAAAGTGAAGCCTGTGAGTTGAGATAAAGACAATTTATTAAGACAGGAAAACAATTACAATAATAATGATGATGATAGTACTATTAATAATAATGTATATGAAACAAGTGATGCACAGTGCAATTGCTCACCACCCACTGATCAATGCCCAGCCTAACCCTAAGCAGTCTGCCCCCCCCCACCCCAGCTAGCTACTCCTAAATATTGTTTAGCATGATGTCAGAGGGTATGGAATAACCCAGTTTGGGTCAGCTGTCCTGGGTCTGTCCTCTCCCAGCTCTTGCTGCACCCCCAGCCTGCCCGTTGGTGAGAAGTTGAAATGTCCTTGGCTTGGTGTAAGCACTGCAACAATTAAAACATCAGCATGTTATTAGCACTCTTCTCATCCTAAGCCGAAACATAGCACCCTACCAGCTACTAGGAAGAAAATTAACTCTGTCCTAACTGAAACCAGGACAGTGGCTAATAACAGATCTGCTTTTCTCTGTGTCTATGTGAACACCTGCTTTCTCTCCTGACACTTGTATGTTGGTTGTTAATCTAAAAGGTGAGAGGAAGGAGCAGGGAGTTGTTCACTTGGGTGGAGGGCTTCTTAAGGGCATTTGTACATGTGACACTTGTTTGCTCTATTGAGTCTGCATTTAGACTTGTCATAAGTAGGGAAAAGGAGGGCATACCTATCTTATTTTACGGAAAAACTCAGTACATGTCAGATTAAAGATCTTGTCGATCTTGAGTTTCTTTCATAATTGCAAAGCTGTGTTTGTACCCGAACAGGAAACATACCCCACCATTGTGAATCTTGCATATAATTCATCATGTTGAAAAGTGTGATCTTATTTGTGAAGTTGAAAATGTTAAGGTTTGAGTTTCAGTAGTTGCACAAAGCCTCAGAATTGAAGAAATCCTGCATTGTGGAGCAAGCTGTCACTCATTCTCATCCAGAACAAGATGAGAAACCTCCCGACTCTGGTATGTTATGAGTAATACTATAAGTCATTAAATTAAACAGGCTCATGGAGCAAGGTAGCCTTGCCCCAGAATGAACCTTTTCCCTGCACTGTTTTGATATTACTTCATTCGTATGCTTGCTTAATTTAGAACACTTAGTGTTATGCTCGGAGACACATAACCCATTTCTTATCCTTGGATGATAGCTAACTCTTTTTTGCTTCAAATTCAGGCTCTGCACATCAGAAGTCAAGCGTTCATTAATATATCTTAAAGTGTAAATTCTACCCTTCCTTCTCTGATTACTCCTTTACTCACTCTTCCCTTTCCTTCACTGGAAGAACTTAGGCTATTGGAATAAATATTTCGTAAAAGCAATCACATGGAAGTTTTTGGTCACTTTGAGGCCAGTTTTAAAATAATTTTGGTAAAATGTTTTCCTATCCAGTGTGGTATTCCATCCATTTTCATAGGCAAAGCAAGACTTGCTTTAGTTTCACTCAAAAGAAAAGCTACCAGATACTGGAAGATAGTTTGTAACTGAAGGAGTACAAGTGTAATAGTTTTACCAGTTAATATTACAATATAAAAAATCCCATGCAATTTCCCACAAAGCCTCTACAACAATGTGAACAGAATTGTCTCTTCACATTTTATTTACTCTTAACTACCACAGGATTTAAAAAAAAAAAAGGGGGGGGGGGGCAAAGACCTTATTGTCTGGGGAACTTGTTTCACTGCTTGACCATCTTCACAATGAAAAAGGTTTTCCTTCTGTTGAGTCAGAATCTCCCCTGCTTTAATTTAAGACCACTCTCTTGGCCTGCTGTGTACCTCTGCTACAGAAGCTTAATTATTTCAAAATAATGAAAAAATGTTAAGGAACCTTATTCAGGCATTTGACTTAAGTGCTGGC